AGCAAAATGCTGAAGACCAGAAAAAATACTACAAAGCAATTTATCTAGAAACGCCAAAAGACCAGAAGAAGTACCAAAGACAATTCACCAACAAAACACTGAAGAACAAAAGAAATATCACAGTACAATTCACTAAAAAATGCTGAAAGACCAGAAGAAATACCACAAGATAATTGCCAGAAGAGAAATTATAAAAAAGAAAAAAAGGGTAGTATAAAACTACTCAAAGAAGCAACCACAAGACAATTCACTAGTAAAAGCTGAAGGACCAAAAGAAATACTATAAGACAGTTTACCAGCAAATGCCAAAGGGCTAGACGAAATACTACAAGACAATTTACCAGTAAAGCATTGAAGAACCAGAAGAAATATCACAAAACAACTTACCAGAAATGCCAAAGGATCAGAAGAAGTACTAAAGACAATTCACCAGCAAAAGGCTGAATAACAAAAGAAATACCACAATACAATTTACTGGTAAAACACTGAAGAACCAGAAGAAATACCACAAGACAATTCACCAGCAAAATGCTAAAGACCAGAAGAAATATCACAAAGCAATTCACCTAAGAACGCCGAAGGACCAGAAGTATCAAAAACAATTTACCAGCAAAATGCTGAAAAACAAAAGAAATATCACAGTACAATTTGCCAGAAAACGCCAAAAGACCAGAAGAAATACCACAAGACAATTGCCAGAAAAGAAATTTTAAAAAAGAAAAAAAAAAGGGTAGTATAAAACTACCCAAAGAAGCAACCACAAGACAATTCACTAGTACAATACCGAAGGATCAGAAGAAACACCACAAAACAATTCACCAGCAAATTGCCAAAGATCAGAAGAAATACCATAAGATAATTTACCTGAGAACGCTGAAGGACTAGAAGAAGTACTAAAGACAATTCACCAGCAAAACGCCAAAGAACAAAAGAAATATCACAGTACAATTCGCCAGAAAATGCCGAAGGACCAGAAGAAATACCACAAGACAATTCACCAGCAAAATGCTAAAGACCAGAAGAAATATCACAAAGCAATTCACCTGAGAACACCGAAGGACCAGAAGTATCAAAGACAATTCACCAGCAAAATGCCGAAGAACAAAAGAAATATCAATTACTTAATATAAGAACATCTACAACTTGAATTTGTTCAATTAAAAAAACATTATCAGTAAGTGCAAACTGCGTCACGCCATCCAAAACTTTGTAAATTGTAGGATATTTAAGGTCTGATACATAAGTTGAATTGTTTATAAATCCCATAGTGATATTTTTTTCATCCCGACGGAAATTAACAAATAAATTTATTGTAGTATCAGCATCAGGAACGTGTTGTGAATAGTAAGGTTCTAGTTTATTAGGGTCCAAATCTACACAATCTGTAACTTTATCATTCCATGCAGTTGATACTGGAGTTTGTTTTGAACTTCCTTCATATGTAGCGATGGCTTTTACCATAGGATCGAGGATGGGATTTTGGATAGGAAAACATTGAGTTTCTATTTCGGCCCGCATCCAATACGAATCCACCGACTTATCGGCCTTCACAATGACTGAATAACGTTGAGCAACATTAATAGGAAGACGATTAACTTTGTAAGGTTTAATCACCATCCCTTCAACTTCAATTCCTTCCAATTCATGCCCATCGATCGAGAAATAAAAGCAGGAAGCGAACTATTTGCATATAAATAAATAAATCAATGGATAAATTATGGAATTTTACAATAATAAAAAAAGAAACTTACGCAGAATTAATAAGTCTAATTCTGTATCGCTTTCCTTGAACAAATTTGAACTGTTCCAATGGAGCATCACTAACACAATGACTACCTGGTGGAGCCGACAAACAGTTAAAAGAATTTTTTCCATTAATCAAACCACTATCAGGAATTGGACCAAACCCTCGACTCTCAGGAGTTAATAATTTAGCTAATAAAATTTTAGCGTCGGTGTGAAACCAGTCATGTAACTGCACAACAATTTCATCATCATAATTATTAATATAAGGATCATCCGGATCATAAACTACAAGGGGACCAATAATTCCTTCGGCATATTGGACTTTTGAATGCGAGTGGCTATTTTTTTTTAAAATGTATTTTAAAACTCAAAGAGTATATATCTGATAGTTTATGTGACAGACATTTTAAGAAAAGATTACTTACTACCAAAAAGTACCACTTTGACAAACTTGATATTTGTAGGTGAATGATTTACCCGCAGGAATTCCTTGTCCAGGGACACCATCATACCAAGGAGTTCCGCGTTGGAACATTCCATGAGAATGAATTGAAGTATCTTCATCCAAATCATTTTTAATATTCAACACTAACGTATCACCTTTAGTGGCACTAATAAGAGGGCCAGGAAATTGACCATTTATGAGAAACATATCTCGTTTAAAACCATCAGGAGCAAAAGTTCCTCTATTGATAGTAAGATCAAAAACTTTTTCTTGGCTCCGGACAGTCATAATCTGATGGGACTGGTAAGACGCATTCGAAAAGGATAAAAGAAATAAATAAAGTAAAATGTAGATTAAGGTTAAAAAGGAAGGCATTTTTAATCAAGAAATTTAAGACAAAAGGGATTAGTGAAAAAAATCTGTGCTTAGGCGCACATATGTGCGTACACTCAAAATTTCTTATTGACTATATTGTCAATTATCTTTGCTATTGTTTATATTATAAAAATAATGTCATTAATGTAACTTGTGTTAAAATACAATTGATACATTTTCGGAGATACTTTTTTTGCTATTGACTTATGCCAGCCAAATGAATTTAAAAAATAATTTTTTTAATCTATATATAGGTTTTCCTATTTATTTCGTAATTAACATGCTGAGTCAGGAGATCGCTTGGCATTATTTTAACGGTAACGGTAAGCTATATTCTATTTTATCGTATATAAACATGTTTTTTTCACTAATCCCTTTTGTCTTAAATTTCTTGATTAAAAATGCCTTCCTTTTTAACCTTAATCTACATTTTACTTTATTTATTTCTTTTATCCTTTTCGAATGCGTCTTACCAGTCCCATCAGATTATGACTGTCCGGAGCCAAGAAAAAGTTTTTGATCTTACTATCAATAGAGGAACTTTTGCTCCTGATGGTTTTAAACGAGATATGTTTCTCATAAATGGTCAATTTCCTGGCCCTCTTATTAGTGCCACTAAAGGTGATACGTTAGTGTTGAATATTAAAAATGATTTGGATGAAGATACTTCAATTCATTCTCATGGAATGTTCCAACGCGGAACTCCTTGGTATGATGGTGTCCCTGGACAAGGAATTCCTGCGGGTAAATCATTCACCTACAAATATCAAGTTTGTCAAAGTGGTACTTTTTGGTAGTAAGTAATCTTTTCTTAAAATGTCTGTCACATAAACTATCAGATATATACTCTTTGAGTTTTAAAATACATTTTAAAAAAAAATAGCCACTCGCATTCAAAAGTCCAATATGCCGAAGGAATTATTGGTCCCCTTGTAGTTTATGATCCGGATGATCCTTATATTAATAATTATGATGATGAAATTGTTGTGCAGTTACATGACTGGTTTCACACCGACGCTAAAATTTTATTAGCTAAATTATTAACTCCTGAGAGTCGAGGGTTTGGTCCAATTCCTGATAGTGGTTTGATTAATGGAAAAAATTCTTTTAACTGTTTGTCGGCTCCACCAGGTAGTCATTGTGTTAGTGATGCTCCATTGGAACAGTTCAAATTTGTTCAAGGAAAGCGATACAGAATTAGACTTATTAATTCTGCGTAAGTTTCTTTTTTTATTATTGTAAAATTCCATAATTTATCCATTGATTTATTTATTTATATGCAAATAGTTCGCTTCCTGCTTTTATTTCTCGATCGATGGGCATGAATTGGAAGGAATTGAAGTTGAAGGGATGGTGATTAAACCTTACAAAGTTAATCGTCTTCCTATTAATGTTGCTCAACGTTATTCAGTCATTGTGAAGGCCGATAAGTCGGTGGATTCGTATTGGATGCGGGCCGAAATAGAAACTCAATGTTTTCCTATCCAAAATCCCATCCTCGATCCTATGGTAAAAGCCATCGCTACATATGAAGGAAGTTCAAAACAAACTCCAGTATCAACTGCATGGAATGATAAAGTTACAGATTGTGTAGATTTGGACCCTAATAAACTAGAACCTTACTATTCACAACACGTTCCTGATGCTGATACTACAATAAATTTATTTGTTAATTTCCGTCGGGATGAAAAAAATATCACTATGGGATTTATAAACAATTCAACTTATGTATCAGACCTTAAATATCCTACAATTTACAAAGTTTTGGATGGCGTGACGCAGTTTGCACTTACTGATAATGTTTTTTTAATTGAACAAATTCAAGTTGTAGATGTTCTTATATTAAGTAATTGATATTTCTTTTGTTCTTCGGCATTTTGCTGGTGAATTGTCTTTGATACTTCTGGTCCTTCGGTGTTCTCAGGTGAATTGCTTTGTGATATTTCTTCTGGTCTTTAGCATTTTGCTGGTGAATTGTCTTGTGGTATTTCTTCTGGTCCTTCGGCATTTTCTGGCGAATTGTACTGTGATATTTCTTTTGTTCTTTGGCGTTTTGCTGGTGAATTGTCTTTAGTACTTCTTCTAGTCCTTCAGCGTTCTCAGGTAAATTATCTTATGGTATTTCTTCTGATCTTTGGCAATTTGCTGGTGAATTGTTTTGTGGTGTTTCTTCTGATCCTTCGGTATTGTACTAGTGAATTGTCTTGTGGTTGCTTCTTTGGGTAGTTTTATACTACCCTTTTTTTTTTCTTTTTTAAAATTTCTTTTCTGGCAATTGTCTTGTGGTATTTCTTCTGGTCTTTTGGCGTTTTCTGGCAAATTGTACTGTGATATTTCTTTTGTTTTTCAGCATTTTGCTGGTAAATTGTTTTTGATACTTCTGGTCCTTCGGCGTTCTTAGGTGAATTGCTTTGTGATATTTCTTCTGGTCTTTAGCATTTTGCTGGTGAATTGTCTTGTGGTATTTCTTCTGGTTCTTCAGTGTTTTACCAGTAAATTGTATTGTGGTATTTCTTTTGTTATTCAGCCTTTTGCTGGTGAATTGTCTTTAGTACTTCTTCTGATCCTTTGGCATTTCTGGTAAGTTGTTTTGTGATATTTCTTCTGGTTCTTCAATGCTTTACTGGTAAATTGTCTTGTAGTATTTCGTCTAGCCCTTTGGCATTTGCTGGTAAACTGTCTTATAGTATTTCTTTTGGTCCTTCAGCTTTTACTAGTGAATTGTCTTGTGGTTGCTTCTTTGAGTAGTTTTATACTACCCTTTTTTTCTTTTTTATAATTTCTCTTCTGGCAATTATCTTGTGGTATTTCTTCTGGTCTTTCAGCATTTTTTAGTGAATTGTACTGTGATATTTCTTTTGTTCTTCAGTGTTTTGTTGGTGAATTGTCTTTGGTACTTCTTCTGGTCTTTTGGCGTTTCTAGATAAATTGCTTTGTAGTATTTTTTCTGGTCTTCAGCATTTTGCT